CTATGTCTACCCTCGCGGCTTCTTGCGTGAGTAATATGCAAATGAGGCTAAGTGTGGAATATCGCTGAGCCTCATTTGCATACCTAATGAGCCACCATTTTTTTCAGAAGAGGCTCTTGTGCAAGAAGGAGCTGTTTACACTGCCCCTTCTTGCGCAAGAAAAACCCTCTTGCGCAATGACGTTACACCTATTACTTTCCAGGAACGGCATTGCGCAAGAGGGGCTTTTTTGCGCAAGAAGAGGCAGTGTAGACAGCTCCTTCTTGCACAAGAGCCTCTTCTGAAAAAAATGGTGGCTCATTAGGTATGCAAATGAGGCTCAGCGATATTCCACACTTAGCCTCATTTGCATATTACTCACGCAAGAAGCCACGAGTGTAGACATAGCCTAGGAGTGCTTTGCCAGCATAACTATGCCATGATGGAAACCACTCTGATTGTAGACCAGGTCCCAGATGGGTGGACAGCCAGAGTCTGCAGCCTTCATTTTACCCACAGCTTCTGTGAGCTGTAGGCTCTGACTCTTGTTACAGCAACTGGCTTGTTTCAAGCAAAATTGACAGCGCAAGCTTTGTTATCCAGCATTCGTGGGGAATGGGGCGTTGCTGATTAATCAAAGGTGCTGGTTACTTGAGTGTTACCCTGATGGTTCATGCATTTTTTCACCATACGCTAGCCATAGTTGCAAGATGGGTTAGATCAGTGTTTTGCAACACTTTTTTTTATAAAGTACCCCTTTAAAAAAATTATAAATACCCCCAGTACCTACAGTTTTCAGACACACACAATTTTTTTCTACCATTGCAAAACATTTGTTTAAACAACTAAATCGTAGCTGGGCAAATTTTGGTGTGTAAAATGTACAAAAATAATAAAGCCCTGTAAAACTTAAAATAAAAATTCAGTTTTCTCCAAATTTCAGTTGTATTGACGTACGTCCCCCCAGACTTCTCTCGAGTATCCCTACGTGTACTCGTACCACTGGTTGAGAAACACTGAGTTAGATCATATCCGATAACAGTATTATATGCAGAAGCATGGCCCAAACAAACTTTACAAACCTGATTTCCACAAGCATTGGAAAATGTTGAAAAATGATACCGGATGGCTATGGGAATTTTTCCAGTTCACTAAAGGAGGAATGCTGGTTAACCAAGTTTTCCAGATATTAAAGAGCTGGATAACACAACTTGTACTATATTTAACAAACAGGGAGGAAATAAAAGTTATAAGAGGCAAAAGAATAAACAAGTAGAGGAAATTAGCAAGAGAGAATCATTTTTGTGACAATAAACATGATTATAATTAGATAAAGGAAAACAAAGGGATGTTTAAAACAAAAAAACCCCAAACAACACTGTTATAAACAAACCTATTTCCTCTCCTTAGTTGCTAATCACATTTGGATGATTAGAAGAAAAATAATTTTACAAACCTAGTTTACTTTTCACCATTGGTAACCCCAAACCAATCAAATACTAGTGGCCTAGGAGCTGTCCATGACAGCCTCTTACTGTAAACTCTGTCCATCCTGTGTCCCTGTTGCTATTTATTGTCACTCGTCACTGACTTTGTGAAGCACCCAGCACATTTGAGCCCTGCATACATAACAGCTAGAATTATGTGGCTCATTCCCTTTTTGCACTTAACTCTACTCGGACCATGAACCAAGAGGCTCTAGTCTTCCAAGCACTTATGCACACTAATAACTCTGTGCACATGATGAGTAGGTCTCCTGCACCCAGAGCTACTGAGCAGCTGCAGGCTGCATGAACCCCACAGGGGCTGCAGCAGGAACCTGACCTGCCTGAAAATCAGGTCCAAAATGTTTCAAGTTGGGCATCCAAAAAAGTGACACTGCTCACAAATTAGAGGCTGCTTTTGAACACGCAGCTGCCTGCCTGCAGCTGGGAGGAGAGAAGGGCGTGAGACAGTAGGAGGAGGAGCAGCTATGGTTAGAGATAGAGAAGGGAACTGAGTCATAGTCATGCAGATCTTCCAGCGGAATGATGAGAGCCCCAAAACCGACGTAGAAGATGACAATAAATTAGAGGGCGGATTCGGGAAAGGAATGTCAGTTGCACTTAGAGATTTAATTCACTTGCACAGATCATTGTTAATCCAAGACATTCTAGTCGGTGGGGATGAATTGTCTGGTCTTAGCCTCTCCCATTCCCTACTAGCTGGATATGGAAGGTGGCCTATATTCCAGCCATCCCACTGGCATTTCTGGCCCCAGCTGCTGGGATTTCTCTCTGTCCCTGGGGAGTCTAAGGGGGTCCTCCTCCTGTCTATCTAACTGTTTATACCACCCTCATCAGTGTGGCACTCAAGACCTGCATCTCACAGCTGCTGGGCACCCCTCACCCAATGCTCAAAGTGGGCAAGCCCCTCCAAAGCTACCACGGCACCCAGAGGTGTAAAGCAGAGCATCGGGTAGAGATGGGATACAGCTGGCGTAAGCTCTGCACTACTGGTTGGTTCCTCCTATTAACGTGCAGTTTGGTCTCCCCTTGTCCTGAGCTCTTGCATGAAACAGACACAGGTTCCTAGTGCTGGAGGGAGTATGGGGTGGCAAAGGCAATATTAATCCTCCCAACACCAGGGGAGAGAGGTGACTGTAAACACACACCCCTCCCACTGGTGAGGAGGCAGAGGTAGAGAGGAGCAAGTGACTTGCCCAAGCTCACACAGAGCCTGAATGAGAAATCAGGAGTACCTGGCTGGCTCCCAGTCTCATGCATAGACCCCTCAGCAACTCTAACCAGCCGCAAGAGCCAATACACGAGAGCCTCATGGACTGCAGCAGGTGATGCGCTGTCCCTTTAAGAGGGGAACTCATTCTCCCTGCACTATGCTGGCACTGCTCTATTAGAGCATCAGTTACTTGCCTGCGACAGACCAAGCCAGAACCGTGCAGCCGTCTCAGGAGCAGCAGCTGAGGTAGGAGCTTCTCAGCATCTCCTGTTCCTCTTTCCTGGCAGGGCTGGGAGGTTGCTAGAAAGGCAGGCCCTTTGCAGAGCAGCCTCTGGTTGGGCTGCAGCCTCCTTGGTATGTTACTGGCATTGTTAGGACGGGTGCTGTGACCCTGCAGCACTCCCTGCACTCTGTGCTTCTTCAAGGCTACTGCCGACAAGAGGACAGGGCGTAGAAAAGGGTTGGGAAGGGCAGGGCACGTAGTGGAGGATATCAGGGTGGGCCCCCACATGGGGGAAAAGCTGGAATCTGAAGTTGTTCAGATGACTGCAAACTAAAGGGAGATGCTTCTGAAAGGGTGGGGGAGGAAGTGAAAGCAGGACTGGGGCAGAGACTCAGGCAAAGATGTGAAAAAGGAGAACTGATGGGTCTAGCTAGTTCAGAGACCCGGTGAGCTTGTCGAGGTGGGTGCAGCAGGGACTGGAGCCAGCAAGATCTGGCCTGTTCCACCCGCCCAGGATCTCCTTCCTATCAAACACTGAGCTTATGGCATGGCTGGGTGGGAGGATGCTAATCCCACCCCACAGAGCTGTGGAATTTTGCATGGCTCTTGCCATCTAATGCCAGTGCAGTGCAGATGGGAGAGACCCGACTCAGGATACCAACAGCAATTCTGCATCCTGCCCTGCTCAAGTGACGCAGCACTTTGTGCCGGTGGCCAACTGTTAATGCTGCCAAGGTTTCTCCCAATGGCATTTCAAAGCTATTTTGCCCATGTGGCTCCATTTGCTCCTGGTAACATTCTGGAGATGGACCAAATAGCTTTCTTCTAGTGCAAGGCTCTATGATTTCTCCTGGGGAGTCTGGCCAGGTCCCCTCCAGACTGCGTCTTGCTGCAGCCTTAGCAGGTTCCCAGCAGCGGAAGTCAGATGGGATAAAAGCACCGTCATGCTGCCTCTCTTCTTAATGACGTGGTTTGGAATTTGCACACGCATCTCTGGTTGCTCCCTCACAGCTGGGGCCACAGGCTGGGCCTGGAGGGATGGGCTCCATGACACGGAAGGTTTCTGAGTCCACACACTGAAGTAGGCCGAGTGCTAAGGGACACTTCTGACTTGCTGGCCCCTTGCCTTCTGCTTCGCCTCCCAGCCCCGGTGTCCCAATCCCCTGGCCCGTTCTGCTTCCCACCCCACAGATCTGTCAGGCTGCACTGCCCCCCTTCCTGCCTGCTTCCCCACCAGCACTATTCCTGCCCCCCATAGCTCCTGAGTGCAACACCCCTTGCAGAGACGCTGGGCGGGATGGGGGGTGCAGGTGCTCCGGCTGTGTAAGGCACCAGAATTCCCAAGGACAGACCCCGAGGCTGCCTAATGAAAATGCCCAACCTCAAGTACTCACAAGCTTTATTCTTGGGCTACTACATTTTAGTTGTCTGTCTATCACTTCGCTGCTGCAGGAAGCCAGAGGCTTAAATAAGAAAGTTCTTGCAGTTTTGTAATAACATGTTGTAGGAACAATCTACTCTCATGCTTCAGGGTACGTGGTGCTCAGGGGTCAGGAGGCCTTGGGTTTGGGAGAAACTCATTCCCCCTTGACACTGCTGCCTAACAGCCTGGTGTAACATAGGCTGCGTTGTCTTTTTCTCCCTCCTACCTCTGAAGCTGTAAGCATTGGCTACTGCCAGAGGTGGGACACCAGCGCTATGGACCTGCTCAGGGGGTGTAAATCCTCTCCCTTTGTTCTCAGAAAGCTCCGCCCAACCTGGCCAGAGGATGGAATCGCTCCCTGAAGCTGTCCTGATCCAGATCCTGGCCTCCATCCCCGCAGTGGAGCTGGTGCTGGTGTGCCGCCTAGTCTGCGGCCAGTGGAAGAACCTTGTGGATGGAGCAGCAATCTGGTTCCTGAAGTGCCAGCAGGATGGGTTCACTGAGGCAGAGCCTGAGGAGGAGGCCAAGGACTGGCAAACGTTCTACTTCCTGAGTAAACGGAAGAGGAATTTAATCAAGAACCCATGCGGTGAAGGTGGGCGGCTGAATTTGATACCATCAATTGATACAGGGTTGGGTTCAAAGGGTCTCTACGGGGGCGGATTATGAAAGTATTTGGCCAGCATTGGGGTCTTAAAAAAAAGGGGGGGGGAGGAGAATATTACAAAGGGGAACATAGGCGATGCGTGTTTGAAAATCTGCTTTTAAATGATCTGCTCAAGCCCAAATAGTGAGCTTGTGGCAGAGCTGAGCACTCAAGAGCTCCTGGTTCCTGTTTCCAGACCCCTGGATCATATTGTTTCTAGCTGCCTCACTCCCCAATGGGTGAGCCAATTTCCTTCCAACATTCTAGTAACATTCTGAAAATGCTCAGGCCAAAAGGAAGAGTGGCAGGCAGTGTTCCCTGTAAACTGGGCATTTGGGCAGGTGTTCAGGAGAGATTCAAATTCTGCCCTGGTCATTAGCAGAGAGCCCAGAGTTAAGATTTGGTTTCAACTGGTGATGCACATTCACATGCGCCTTGGTGCACATAAAAATTTATTCCACACATGGATGGAAAAATCCACATATAGATGGAAAAGATTACAAGGGACATTGTAATCTTCTGACCACATTAGAGGAGGGTTGAAAACAAGGCTAAGCAAGTGTAACCCACATACCTCCTATCCCATCTAGTGTCACGGAGACCACATTTAGGGAACGTCTAGACTGCAAGCTTCTTTCCAAAGAGCTCTTGACTCAAAAAGGTTCTTTCGAAAGACAGCATCCACACCTCAAAACCAGATCGAAAAAGCAATCTGCTTTTTCAAAAGAGAGCATCCATACTGCCTGGATGCTCTCTCGAAAGATAGCTCTGATTGCTATTCACAGAATGGCCACCAGGGCACCTGTGCTTTTTTTGACTGCCTCTTTTTTTGAACAATGTCCCTGTTCTGCATCCATACACACCATTTTTCGAAAGAGCTCTTTTGAAAAAGGCATTCTTCCTCAGAATTTGAGGTTTACCAATGTCGAAAAAAACCCTGTGTTCTTTCAATTTAATTTTGAAAGAACGCAATTGCGGTGTGGATACAAGTGAAGTTTTTTCTAAAAAAGGGCAGGGGTTTTTTTTCCGAAAAAACCATGTAGTCTAGACATATCCATAGAGAGACTAGTGAGTCTGCTCTGCAGTCTTGGCTACTGGCTACTAGCCAACTGGCGGCCTTACACAAGGAATACTGGCTCCAACTTTTAAAATATTTCTGTCTCTCAGTAACACTTTAGAAAAGATTTTACAAATCTAATGAGCTTGTCCCCACTGATGCCAAATGCTAGCTCTGTGCATTTCATTTCAGCCCAGAGAAGGAAACAGATCCTCTCCTGCGCCGGCCCTATTTTGCAGCACTGGGAGTGCTGAAATACAGCACAAATAGGACTTGGACTTGTTTAAATGTTCATGGAACCCTTGCAATCAATTGTGGGGTTTGTAAAAGTTTGTTTTTACCAAACTTACATGTTTGGTTTGAATTTGACCCATAAAACATCTCTCAAAAGCCTGGTCCACACACCCAGTCACAGCCATTTAACCTCAGCCCTGTACTTAAACTGTTGTGATAGGTACCCAGACCAGTCTGAAATGCTGGACACCATGGGCAGTAGGTAATGCAGACAAGGGAAGGCATTGCCTTCCCAAAACTGCCTACACTGCCCAGTTGCTCAGGAGGGGATGGGCCCGTGCCATGCAGCTCTCCAGGAGCCAGAGAGGGTTGGGGCCAGGCAGCAGCTCCGGCCCTCAGCTGGGGTTGAAGGAGGCTTTGCTGGGGGAGGGGGAGTTGTTGATGGGGTAAGGTATTGGGGGGGAAGGTGCAGGGCTTCAGTTTGCCTTTCCCAGCTGGGCCTTCACCTACCGCTCATGCTGGGCAGGGCTCTGAACTGAAGGGAGGTTGCTCTGACAATGATCCGAGTGTTGGTGCTGAGAATCGAGGGCCAGATTGCAATAGCTGTACCAAGCAGTACCTTATGCTGCAGCCAGTCCCATTGAAGTCAATGGGCTCACTTGCGGAGTCAAGCACAACTCAAGTTGAATTCCCTGCCGGGATCTAGTAGACATTCTCACCTAGGAAGGTGAAAGATGCTTGAAGCCCTGGGACTGTATCACCCAAAGCGTCTCTCTTGTTCTGCCACCTGCAGAGACTTTAGAGCACTGGGAGGAAGTGGAGAACGGAGGCGATGGCTGGAAAATTGAGGAGCTGCCAGGAGACTTCGGAAAAGAATTTCCCAGCGATGGAGTCCACACATACTTCGTCACCTCCTACGAGTAGGGCTGTCCTTTCTCGGGCTGGGTTCTAGTCCACACAGGCCTACGAGGGCCGTTCTCACCCAGTAACCTCTCATCTTCCAGGTGGTGCCGCAAGTCTCAGGTCATTGACCTCAGGGCGGAAGGTTACTGGGAGGAGTTGATGGACACAACGCAGCCTAAAATTGTGGCAAAGGACTGGTAAGTGGAGGGGTGTTGTGCTGGGCTGGCAGGCAGGGTGGGGGAAGGGCCAAGAGAAGCAGAGAGAGAGAGAGTGTTGAGGAGAGGCAGGAGCTGTGTCTACACTGGGCTTCTTTGACCCGTATTTCCCACCATTGCTTAGATAGCAATGGGGCAAGCCAGCGAGCCACACCACTTGTGAACACACTGGTGAGAACTCCACTCCTGGGTCTGCACTAACGCTGCCCGCTGCTGGCAGCAGTGGGAGAGCGGCCCACGCACACTGCAATCTGGGCTTTGCTTTATGGATGTGGCTTGCCCCGTCTCAACTTGCAGCACATGGTGTCGAGCGTGAGCATAGCTGCACGTTTCTCAGCACCGGGGCTATTTACAGAGTGGTCGCGGGGCCAGCGATGGTGGGGCTGGCAGCTTGGGTCTCTTTGCAGGTATGCAGGGCGCAGCGACGCCGGCTGCCTCTACCAGCTGCACGTGAAGCTGCTGTCAGAGCACGAGGACGTCCTGGCAGAGTACAAGAGCGACACCATCGCCATTCCGCAGAACAGCGACGCTGACTGGACCGAGGTGAGCCACAGCGGGACAAAGCCAGGGAGATGGGACAGGGAGGTGCATGCCCTGGGCCTGCACGTGAATCCGGCTGGGAAGGGGCCCCCTGGACAAGCTTGGAGCTTTCTTATTTGCAGAAGGAGCAGGATGGGGTGAAAACTGGGAGGGGGGTATCTATCCTGGGATCACGTCTCTTTCCTCTTGTGCAGCTAGGACTATGGAGCACAAATGTCTTGGCTTTCTCACAAGGCTGGGAGTGGATGCGGGAGAGGGAAGTGACAACATGAGTGCAACACTGGGGCCCGAAGACCCTGAGGGAGTTCAGCGTCCCTGTGGCCCGTGACCCCATGCAGCCGGGTGGGGTTCAGCGCCTCATGTAGGGGAGATTCAGGGGTGGCTTGTCTCTTTCTGTCCCCTCAGATTTCCCACACCTTCTCCGACTACGGTCCCGGGGCTCGCTTTGTGCGCTTTGAACACGGCGGCCAGGACACGCTATTCTGGAAAGGATGGTACGGGGTCCGTGTGACCAACAGCAGCGTGATGGTGGAGCCCTAGCCAGGCCATGGCCCTCAAGCCAGACCGGGTCCCATTCACCGCAGCTAGCCCCTGGCATCCTCCATGGGCTTGGAATGGTTTCTGCATGGTGCTGCTTCCAGGAGTTCCAGAGTATATCACTTACCGCATTGAGAGAGTGTGTCTCTCTTGCTTGCTCTCTCTGCAGGGACTCGGAGTAGCAGGTTTTGCTTCCATTAATGCACCAACCCTTAGAAAGCTTTAAAAAACCTCAGTTCTCTCCCCTCACCCACTAGCCTGATGCCCTTCCAGCCAGGTACAGCGTTGCTCTGGAACAGTGCCCAGGCAAGGCCAAAGGAGCAGGCAATAAATGATTTCAGGACCTTATCTCTACTTTGGGCACCTCAGACCTTAAACCTTCCTCCCCATCAGTTGCACTGAATAGTGACTCACAATGCCACTTACCAGAGTCAGAGACAATCCACATTGAGATGCATGGCCCTATGGTCTCAACACAGCCTGCTCTGCCACTGAGCTCCCTCTGTGGCCTCGGGCAAATCACTTAGCTTCTCTCCCCAGCTGCAGTAACAGTTGCCTATCTCTTGGGGATAGGGCTAATTAAAGTTTGCTGTGCTGTGTGGCTGGTTTCTTTATTATGAATAATAATGCTAAGCTGTAGGGAGAGCAGGGTGCCTTTCATCTTTGGTTGAGCCCGGGAAGGGAACATTAAAAAAAAAAAAAAGGTTAAACTGGAATCTGCCCTGGAGCCTTTCTAGTTTTACTAAACATGAAGCATCTCAGCTAGTAAAAGCCAACGTGTGCAGAGGGACCCGGGCCTGGGCCAAGGCAGAACAGCTAGAAATAAATCCAGATGGTCCAGAGAGGTAGAGAGAGAGACAGAGACTGGAACTAGCTCCCCCTGCCCCAAGCGACGTCTCTGGACTGTCAGTCTTCACTCCTTGGGCAACTCCTCTCTTGAGCCTGGGTTAATCCTGACCTCATGGGGCCAGGCTTTGTTTTTGTGTAGACAGGGGAGGGTCTTATAGAAAACCTCTAAAGAGCATCTGCTGCCTCATCCCTGGGGAACACTGGCCCTCTTCTCCAACCTCCACTGTGTGCTGTACCTCATGGACCAGGGAAGAACATATATACATGAAAGCCGCCAGCTCAGCTGATGCACCAAGGACCTCCAGAGCTAAAGGTGCAAACAGCTCCTGCTTGAGCTATAAACTCAAGGCTTCTGGGGGTGAGGAGGGAGGAAGCGCTATAACAGATTCACATCCTCTGCAAATCAGCCCTTCAGTTGATTACGCCCTCCCCCCCCAAGAGCAGTGCATTGCTCTGCCCCACGTCCATCTCCTCTTGTTCCCTTCCATCTCTCCACTTTGCTCACTCCCCTTTCCATGCTAGCCTGCTCCCCATCCCTCTCCGTCTCTCGTGGACTTGTTCCTGCACTCCCAATCCTGACACCTACATCATTTCTTGGGATGGAAGCTCCCAGGGATTGCTTTTGTGGGGTGTAGTCCAGGATCCTACACAGCCCACTAGAGATAACAGGTGGAAGGGAAAGCCAGGCAATCCAGAAAGCCAAAGAACCCATTGCAGCCTCTCATCTGCACCCAGGGCCTGTAACTAGCCCCTTGCTAATCACACTCCCCAAGCCTAGAGAACTGCTACTCAGCAGCACCTGCTCACAGATGATACCTGCCTGTTTAAACAGGACTTCTGGAAACCACAGATCCACCTCTAATGCACATGCAAGGTAACTCTTATGGAAATACTCCCACCTTGTGCCTCTTGCCACTGCCTCTTGACTATGCCCATAGCACTGACTATGCTTAGCTGAGCCAAGGCTAACCTCCCCCGCAAATCAATCCTAGTGGAAGAGGGACTCCTTCCCTTAGGCGGGCTAGTGTCTAGAGAGAGAGTCTGTCTGTCCCTATGTTCTCTTTGCCTGGGCTGTTGGGGAAGTGCCTCCAATTCAACTCCTTAGCATCAAAGTGTGCCATTGCCCAATGCCACAGGCTCGCATTTCTTTTGCAAAAGGCCAGAGCAGTGTTCTGGCGCCTTCTGGGCTTGCCACATCAGTTAAGAAGGTAAAAAAAAAATGGCTTGAGCCCAGCCTCTCTTTCATTACAAATGAAGCTCCGGGCAAGCGCTTCTGTGTGCCTGGTCCACCTGGTGTGCCCGGCCTTCTGGCGGGCTCTCTGCAACTGGATGGGCCCTCTTGCATTCCAAGTCACAGGCTCTCTCTGGATGAAGACCATCAATAAAAGTACTGTGCATACAAGCGTGTGTGTCTGCCTGTGTCTCCAGGCTCATACTTTCCTCCTGTGTTACTTTTCTCAGTGTTACACCCCCTCCCCCCCCACACACACCCTGGAAGTGCATATGCCAACACCTCAGCTATACCCATCCTCTTAAGGAGCAGGCTGTGCCTAGGCGAAGGGACCCATTGCCCCTGCGCTACAGACCAAGTGCTGCAGCCCCACCAATCAAACGCACAAAGCGGCTGAGGTAAATCTGGGCTCCCCTTGCAGGCATCATCCCCGGGGAGCTGGAGAGCACAGGAGCCGGTGTGGCACCCACAAGAGCTTCTCACCAGCACGTCCCCTCCCCGCACCTTGGGCGCTAAGCTCCAAGAGACACAATTTGTGCAAAGGGCACATCTTGGGCTGTGAGCTGGCCCCCTTCTGAATGGGGGGTGAGGCTCTGCCTGCTCAGAGTCAAAGACCTCTCTCCACCTGGCTCCCAGGAGCTCCCTGTAGGGCCTCGAGTCCCCTCCGTTGCTTTACAACTCTGCCCTGGTACTCTGCCTGAAGCCCAGTGGGAACTGCCTGCTTGCTGGGTAGGGTCTCTGGGCCCTTCTCTACTGCACTCATGTCACATGGGTTCTCACAGCTACTCAACAGGGCACCAGTTAATATTCAGCTCCTGGTCAGCTGCCTGACCCCTGGGAAGACACATGGGCCTGGAATGGGACTGGACAGAGACAGCAGTGGGCTCCATGTAACCCCCACGCTGTGAATCCTTGCTAGCCTGTGTAACCCCCAAGGAGATTACTCAGATTCCCGGGGCTTTGTCCGCTGGCAGCTCAGGGAGAGGCTCTGAGTTTGCCTTGGCTCCCCCTCCCTACCAGGGACAGAGTCTGCTGGGCAACCCATAGGGAGTGAGATGCCCCTCCCAGGGAGTTCAGGAGGGGGAAGGAGAGGCCATTGTGGAGGGGAGTCTGGAGCCAGACAGGGCAAGGGGAGGACTGGCTGTGTGGGAGCTAGTAAGCCCCAGGCCTGCATGCAGGGTTCCCCCTGAGAACTAGCCCCTAGGGACCTGACAGCAGGATCCCTCAGTTGGGTTTTATGTCTCCACTGTTGATTCCCAGTTTGTGGAGTTTGCTGGGAGGCTTCCCCAGCCAGGCTGAGTTGGCTCTCCGGCTCCCTGGGTGAGACCAGCCACTGCATGGTCAGCTCAGCTCTATCTGTGAGTTCAGGGCTGCTGCCTGCTGTGTGGGTCTGAATGCTGGGCTACGAGGTTATAGTTTGAATTTTGGTGCAGTTGTGTGGCCTGCACCTTAAGCCTTGCACTCCTTTGTGGTGAGGGGAAATTCTGGGACCGAAGCAGCCTGATTCCTGCCTGAAGAGGATCCCTGCAAGAAGAGAGCAGCCCCTCTGCAGTGACTGAGTCATCTCTGAACCTGAGGCTCATTCATGGAGTGTGTGAGTGCACCATCTTTTAGTTAGTAAATTGGGGAATTTGGGGATTTTATTACCTGCTGCATATTAAACCAGTGGAGGGATGTACTGCCTTCTCCCATGTGTGAGTCCTTTGGGCTGTACTGGACCTAGTCAGCCCCACTGCTAAACCACTGCAGAGAAGAATTTTGTGGTCAAAAGTCATCAAGGGCCCCAACAAAGTACGGGTACCAATGGGACACTGATCTTACAGTTGCTGGGCACCGGTGACCCTAAAAATAGTGTTTTACCCTGTTCTATTTGTCTCCTGCTTAATATAATTGTGTTTATTATAGTGTATGTGTTTGTGCTATTTTCTGGGAGTCTCCAACTATTTGGCAAATACATGGGGATTATCCTGGGTTAGAATTTTCCTCCCACGCTGCCCTGGTGACCCTGCCAGGAAGGAGTGAGGGGGGTGGAGGCACCGCCAAATAAATCCATCGGAAAAAATAAAGCTGAGTGGGTGGCGGGATCCAGAAGAACCCAGACTTATCCATCGAAACCTGTAAGGAGACTGGTTTTAAAGAAGGTAACCAGATCCAGGTGGAGAGGGGGGGCTACACCTGCAGTAAGGCTACTTCTCCTGGGATAAACTCCAGCTATCACATTCCCTAGAAACAGGGAGCTCCCACAGCCAGATACACCTCTGCAGCTCCTATAGTTGGAGAGGCAAGCGACCGAGCTGGCTGTTGTGGCCCCTGCCGAGTGTAACAGGTGCAGGGTTGACACTCACCTCCTCCGGCACGAGGTGAGGTCACTCTGGCTCCAATGGCTGCCAGCAGGTTAGCCCCGTCCTCCCTGAACGTGAGCCAGCAGGAAACGTCCGGGGGAGGTTGAGGGAGGCCCAGGGGCTCAGCCTGGCCCTCTGGAGAAGAACAAAATAAACAGGACATCGGGCAAAGGAGGATCCGCTCTGTGCTTCGAGGAGGGCCTGGCTAGGGGATGCTTTGCCCACCTGCTACCAACGGGAGTTCCCGGAAATGCCGCTGCCAGAGCTGGGCCAGGCT